GATGAAGGGCTCCAATAGCTTGAGATGATGAATCCATGGAGTCTCGAGTAGGCTATTTTTGTCGGTCTATAAATTTCATACCTACCTATTGACAACTCATTAGGGCCCTTCCTTTTCTTTTTTTTTTTGGTCATTAAGTCATTATGTAAGCCCTCTTTCATTGAAAGGAGACTGCCTGTCAGGTTATAGTGATTCATCATTTGCCTAATAGCCTAGTTTAGCCTTAACAATATGTGATTTCCTCTATTGGAATGGAGAAATATAGTTTTAGAGTCTATGATAAGTTAGCATAACACATTTTATCGAGTTTTCTTAGATGTCCACTAAGTTGTAATTAACCATGAGAATATATTATCGTGGGAGGTCCTTTTGAACCCAAAAAAAATAAATTTATTTTTTCCCTAGTTTAAGCATGAGTAATATCATAATAATCTTTCGTATATCATTCGAGTTGAGTGTGTTCATTTATTTAATTTGGTTCACTCTTCTTTGGTGTATGTTACGAGTTTTACCCTACAAGTCATCTTTGTATCTTCCCTTTTTGTTTCTTTTTTTTTAATATTTGCCCATCGTTGCTTCTTTTGTTTGCTCGCTCTATTTCTTTTGAAATAGAACCGGCTTGAGAAGGGAGATTCTAAAGGGGACATATATAAAAAATGCCCTTCGTGAGAAGAAAAGAAACAAAAAAGGGGCACACAATTAGGCTTGTATCATACGTTTTTTTTATAGAATCATAAAATATATTAGGCACTGAATTGAATTTTCCCACTACTTTCCACCTCTTTATTGACCAGCCACATGTACATTTTACACTTTACATTTCTTTATTTCCCACAAATTTATTTGCCCATCATACGCTCCTATTTGTCACCAGCCACATGTACAATTAACACTTTACATTTCTTATGCTTCAATCAAATCATTACAAGGGAGGACAACTTTATAACTTGATATTTACCAATCCAATTAAGTTAAATAGGATTTTTATAGAATTTAACATTTAAAATAAATTGAAATTCAATAGGAGTAGTTTGTAGAACTTTAACGTAATCTCAATTCCAAGTTAAGAATGAAAATTAATAAACTAAAACTTTTCCCTTAATCTAATTCCCTCATTCCATATGGAATCTACATTCCGGACTCAAAAATTCAATATTACTGATACGACATGTACATTTGTGTGAGCTCTTAGAGTGTGAGTGCACCTAGAAGCAGTATCAAACTCCAAAAAGCAAAATTCAATTGGTTCCTAAAGAGTCGATGTAGAATATGAGCGGATCAAGAAAATAAAGCAAAATATTTATGAGATCCCAGAGCAAGAGATTCATAAAATGCCCAATCAAGGCCCACCATAATAGCCTAATTTAGAAGAAATAATGAAAATTTAGATTTTGTAATTATTCAAATTTAAAATTTATTTTGTAGAAGCTTGACTTCTCACAACTTAAGACATTTATAGGTTAACTTTTTAATAGATAAATGTAGATAAAATAAATTTATGAATGTTATAAAGCTAATCTATATTTATCTTAATAAGATTGTAGTTAATGCAATCCTAATTAACATGACTGATATTTAATAATTATTTTTGTTGTTGAATGATTGAATTATTTGGCATAATTATTTTCTTTTTATGTAATTACTTAACGTGCTAGCTTGACCTTTTCTAGGTATAATTGGTTGTCAATCTTTTAGGTACACTCTAACCCTCAAGAAAATTATTCCACAATCACCCTTAGCCTCCCTTTACATTATAATTTATCTCTAAGCCCAACTATATATCACCCAAGCTTTCAAACCCACTTCAAAAGCTTATTTATAATGTATGACCAAGCCAAGAAAGATAGTTATCTAGTCTTATTCTCCATACCAATACAAAACCATAAACCTCACCAAACTACACCAACTAATCAAAATCATATTTTTGTACCTTAATACAAAAGTTAACAATCATTTTCTCTCATTTATGCTACTTGAAACCCTTTCCCAAAGGAATTTTTCTAAATCAACCCAAACTACATTGATTTGGACTAGTATTATTCTTCTTTTCACTAAACCCCTCTAATGGGCTTAAATTTCTACCATCAACCAACGATTATAAATTAACATTCTAATCTAGACATCTAATATAAATTTTAACCATTTAAACCACTTAATGTTTATTATCTAAACTTATCTTTCAAATAAAGCTAAATTAGCCCGAGTTAAACTAAAATTGATATTCCTTCTATTAAACCCCCATAAACACCTCACCTTTTCACTAAGAACTCTAGGATTATATTAAAAGCTCAAATTCATCACTAAATATTATCTCTTAAACTAAAATTGATATTCCTTCTATTAAACCCCCCTAAACACCTAACCTTTTCGCTAAGAACTCTAGCATTATATTAAAAGCTCAAATTCATTACTAAATATTATCTTACCAGAAAAGGTATTTGGTTACCATCACGTGTTGTGTAGGTAAACTAAATCCACCAAATAAAGATTTGACAAATACATTGCACTTCTCCATAAGCATTGGTAGAGCTTGTTTGTTGATTTCATTACAGGCTTCCATGATTACCAAAAAAGAAATTCATGACAATATTTTATCAATGTAGACAAACATAATAAATTGACCCATATTCAAAGGAGAAACCTGGTTATTTCTATGTTGGGCAATTGTACCCCTAGAATTTGTAATTGTTCTTCCCAATATTTAAAAAAAATTAGACATTTGGTGATTTTTCCCACCCTAAAAATAATGTTGGTTCCTCCTCTGTCAATATTCTTCCTTATAATAAGATCACATGCATCATTCTTTTAAGAAATTATTAGAAAATAATACATGGGCACTGCAGATTACATTTTTCTACTAATAACACAATTTTAAAAATAACACATAAAATACTTGTTAATATTATGTATAATTAGTATTAAGAGACCCATAAATCTTGAAGAACTTCCATCACATGAATATTATGATTCATTTTTTATGTTTTCAAAAGTTATTTTAGCATATGAGTCCATTAGAAAGTAAGTTAAAATTAGCAACCCTTAAACATATTATTCATAAGAGTCTCATAAAGAATATCATGGAGTGTTTTTTTTTTTATATACATCAGACATGAGTAAGATCTCTCTATCATATTTAAAAAAATTTTAATAACGTCCATTCATGAATATTATGATTTATCTTTTATCTATTAGAAAGCAAATTAAAATTAGAAACTATTAATATGTTAAACCTATTAATCATAAGAAACTCTCATAAGGAATATCATATGAATGATCTTATTTAATACACATTCGATATGAGTAAGGTTTCACTACCAAAATCAAAAAGTTGCTAACAAGAGGAAGATATATTTTTTAATTTTAAAAAGCTTAGGGGGGATAAAGCTTATTTTTTTGGAATTGTCATCAAACATCATATCATTATCATTATTATTATTGATGTAGAATATTTCATATGCTTAAAGTATGTTATGTGTTGAGGAAGAGAAACTTTATTATGGTATTAGGGTTAAGCTTGAAGGCTAGTTGCCAGCGGCCACTCATCCTAACAGTAAGCTTGAAGGCTAGTTGCCAGCGGCCACTCATCCCACCTACTTCAACATGATTTTATTCTTATAAATAAGCCACTGATCTATGAAGCTGTAAAATCATGGATTTCTTATTGGATGGAAGGATAGCTTAGTTACTAATGACCTTTGGTAGCTGCATGATGAGTTAGAAAAACTTTTACTAGATCTACTAAATGAATATTTCGATTCAAGTCCTCCAGGAAAATTTCTTCTGAAGTCAAAGTGAGGGGATCAATCAACAAATCTATTATTGTTAATAAACAATAATTTTTTTTTATATTTTAATATATTAGACTTTTAATATTATTTTCATTTTCTAAAATAGGACTCAATATTAAAATAAGTTCAAGGTTTCTAACAACATAAAGTCTAAAACAAGTTCATGTTCTAGAATAACTTTCACGTTATTACTATCATTTTATTTTATTTTATTTTTTTGGTTAGAATAACTTCACACTCTCAATCAATTTTTGGTCATTTCCCAATTTGATTAACCTAAGTTAACTATTTATGGGTGTACAAAGATTATATGTGCAAATGGCGGCATTAAAACCTGCTAGATTTCCCAGCATACTAGTTTTCTCTTATGCTTTTTTAGAATACATAATTATTTGGGGTGAAATGAGTTCAATCTCTACAAATATGTTCCCGATTAATTGAAACAGCAAAAGAAAGTGCAAATGCATAAGTTGAGACATACCGATAGGATGTTATGTTCTGAGAAGTCAAGGTGAAACCATCTTGCTAAAACTGGCAAGGGTCATTGTGGAAAGCACAACATTGGAACCTCAATTTCTACACAAGCACCACCTACAAATAAGTAATGAAAAGCGAACTATGCAGTGTAATAAGTAGTGTTTTAGTTTATATGCTTTTAACTTGTCAAAGATGGGGACCATTTGGTAGTAGTTAAAGCTCATTAATCAAGGAAGACTTGAGGAGACGACTTTAAGTTAGCATATATACAAGTCCAAAGAAGTTTCTTACCAATTTACTTGTCAAATAAAAATTCAATGAATTGACTGGCCAATAATATAGCTGTGAATTTCTACAGAGATGTTCGAGTCATACAAAGAAAAACATAAGATATGTAGTTTATCTATGAATATTATCGTGATGTATTAGGGTTGCTCCACAGAATACGATGACCGTTATTTTTAGAAACAAAGTGCTCATTTGATTCCTTAGATTGGTCCAAGAGATTGGCATAATTTTCTGTTAAAACAAGCTCGGTTAATTTCTTTGAAGTATCTATCGTGCTCCATCAACCATTCTTTTAAAGTTTAATCTAAAAGCCTTTGCACGATTAGAAGCAAAAGCTGCACACTTGGCCTGTGAAGGATTGGGGTCTGCTTTAACCTAGAGTTTAGACACTATACCCTGCTATAAAGACCAAGAGAGAGCTACACAGCATGAAGGCAGACCAGATAATGATTAAAACAAGAAAGTAACAGAGAGCTTTATATATGCATACAACATATAGAGTATATTTGCCAAGTATTCATTTCAACAACATTGCAATATAAATGAAAACAGCTGAGTTTAATTAGCACAGCCGTGACATATGTCAAACCAGTTGCACTACCCATTGCAGTTATTAGAGGGAAAAAAGAAGAAAACGGTGGGAAACCCATAATCTTTTGGTATACCTTGATTTGGATGTTGGAGATAACTTATTCAAGTAAGGCTGAGTGGGTAGAGACAATATGAACAGAAGAAACCATCAAAGATTTGATCCGGTAGGAGAACAGGATGGTCCGGAGACTCGTAAGAATTAGGCTGTCTGAATAAGAATACACATCCTAAGCTTAATACATCGCTTCCGACAAGAACATTAAACATGTTGCAACTTCATCATATATACTTTTCCAAGTCCAAAAAATGGTTTGAAACAGTTTTTCTCAACTTGAACTAGTCATTTCGAGATGCTACTTGTAGAAGCAGGCATTTGAGAAGAGGATTTCATAAGGGCATGGGGTAAAAATCGGCCCTTCGCCAATAATGGACCAACAGAACCAGCTTGGAAGTCATCAGATGATGTTTGAGTCAGAAAAGGATCCTTGCCATGAAGGAATTCTGGCCTTAGCTCTGTCGAAGAGGATGATGGAGCTAAAGTTGGCAGGGACATTCCAATGGGATACGGAGCAACTGGCATGTCTACTAAAGAAGATGCAGAAGGACTGTAACTCAATGTCCCCATTGAATGATCAAACTTGCATGTTGGTCCAAACTTGCACACACCATGTTGAGCATAGTAAGCACAAAGCTGAGCTCCCTATAAACAAAATATGAATAGTTATGAATCCATTTTAAAAAGTTATTAGGTCTACTTTGAAGTATCATAACAAGTAAATCTAGTTTCTTGAGAACGACGTCGCTAAAACATGTCACATAATACATAAGAGTGTATACGCCCATACAAATAACTGCAGAAATTCAGGATTTCCAGCTGGAAAAACTGAAGCTTATTCAAGCAATTCTTGGTATTTCAATGGTGCGACAGTCAAGACTCAAGTATTTTTCAGTCTTGTTGAAAAAAAAAAGAAAAAAGAGAAGAAAAGAAATTGTGAAAGCACTGGAAAAATATCTCAAGCACTGGAAAAATATCTCCAACTCCAACAAAAAAAAAAAGCCCTGGGGAAAATGAAGAGAAATAGAGAAGATGGAAATTAAGAAATACATGCTCAGATGAATTAAGTTATTACGTCATGAACTTGGAGCACAGGATTTAAATATATATTAATATGTGTGTCTGAGTGCAAGTATAAATGCGAGCTGGGAATCAAATCACAAATAAATTAGACGATAGCAAAACTGGAATCTTTAGACAACTAAACTGAACATGACCAGAGCTAGCATCTCGCACGTTGGAGAAGCCTAGGCCACCAAAGGCATCTATCCTTTAATCGATATACTTCTCTTCCTCTCCCTCTCTACTTACTATTTTATTCCTAGATAATGTTTCTGGAATCTTCCTGACATTTAGATCAGAAATATCAGGATTTAATCTCTGTCCTATATTCTTCTTCTAAACCAAGCTATCTTTGTAATTGGTGAAAGTCTTAACTGCGCTCTAGATATAGGAATTCCAAATGATACAGAACTCCTTAGGAGTCTGCTCCACTGTGACATTGTCATCTTAATTGCCAACTAGAACCTTTTACTTCATTGCCTTATTCTCTTTATATATCTCTCTTGATCTTGAGAGAGAGAGAGAGAGAGAGTTTGTGAAAAGAAAAGGAAATTTCCATGAAAAAAAAGAGAAATATCAAATTTTAAGAGAGAAGAATGAGGAAACTTCTTGAGCAATAAATTCATTACTTATATCTTATTCTCTTTGGATAGCTAACAAATTGTTTTCTCTGAAGAATAATTGGTGATTCCGAAATCATAACAAAAGTAACATCAAAAACAGAAGAGAACCAAAAATAAGTCAACTTCTTGATCAATAAATGTATTATTTATTTATCACTCTATGGAGAAGTTTTAAATGTATTAACTATAAAGTTAGAATAAGAAAATGCAAGCGAATAAAGAATATACTTGAGAAAGAAACTTCAATTACTATGATAATAAGAAATCAATCAGTAAGTTTTAGAGGGTACAAAGGGTAAGATATAGAAGGATCTAGGGTGTCGTTTCTGACTTGCAAAATCACCTTAGGCCACTCGGATCATAGACATGATTGAAAATTAGACTGTCCTGTAACACATTTCACTTAGACTGTCCTGTAGCACATTCCAATTTCATGTTTGCTGTCCATTGTGTATATCAAGCCAGTAATGTAATGTATCAATTCAATCAGTTAATAAACACAACCTACTGATATTCAGCACCAACTCATGAACTAGCCAATTTCAAGTATTGTAACTAACAGAAAATGCGAGAAATTATTCTGCAGAGGCCATCATATACTTCAGAGCTTGTTAACCAACTTAATGCTGAGTTCATTGCCTCATTGGTGAATCCCTTCCTCTAAAGTGACAGCAAATTCTCTTCCGTTAAAAACAGCTTTATTTTTTACACACAATTTCTCATATTACCAAAACGCCAAAAACATGTTCCTTCCTCATTTAAACCATCACAATGTGCCACTTTTAATAAATGAACATCAAAACATATTTTTCATTAAGAAAATTGCTAATTATCGCCATATAAATCATTCTAAATTAATTAATAAAAAAAATTTTAATTAAATTCTTAGCTGCATACTCATTAAATTTAAATTAATAATCAGTTGGGAAATATAGTTTTTTAAATAATAAAATTGACATTATTTTTAATTACTAACGATGTCCATATTGGTGATTTATCCAAACAATATTACTACAATAATAGTTTTTTTACTGAATAGGTTCATCCATCATAGCACTTCACAAAGCATATTCAACAACTATTTTATCAAATACTAACTTTTATCCTTTACTTAGTAGACATAACACAATACAAAATAGCACAGTGCGACACAGCTTTGTCAGAAGGTGCTTTTATCAAAGCTCTTCAAGTGCTTAAGAACCATTGAAATTACCATAATCATGAAACATTACTTGTACACCATTTTGCAAATACAGCTAACTTAATGATGCTAGGGCAAAGGATATCTCCAGGGTCATCACTATGAACGTATAGCACCAATCAAAGGGCAAGGACATGAATTTATTACAATTTATTTTCAAATAGTAATAAATATGGCAAGAGCATCAACATATTGACATTTCTTTTTCAACTGAAAAAATACAACAATAACAACAACAACAATGACAACTAGCTTTTATCCCACTCAGTGGGGTCGGCTACATGAATCCTTTTTCAACCAAAAAAAATAGAATAAAAAATACTTAACTATTTATGAATTGTGGAGCCTATATAAGATTACTCGTAGCATAACCCTCCAAGGAAGTGCCAGAAATTTACTAATAAAACTGACTCGCAACATATGCCATAACAAAAATAACTAAGAATCTAAGTGCAGCACATCTTATCCACATTTCAAACTAATAATCAAGAGAGGCTGAGTATGAAAAATGGGGAAACGTTTGGTGGTTTTAGTTGCTGGGAGTGATGCTTAGGATTCATCTAAACCACAACAACATAAAAGCATATAACACTTTTCCCTCAAGTCTCTCCAATTTATCTATGGAAACTCAGCATAAGAGATATAACGAAGAAGATCTTACAACAAACCAAATACTTTGGGGATAAAACTAACTTCCAATAACTCTGCAATGACTAAAATTATTTCTACAATAACAATCCAAAAAAACTAAATAGTGACAAATTTAGAAGATCAAATTAAACTATGTTGTTTAAGATGATCTAAGTCACTGATATTAGTGAGGATATAATGCTGCAAATACCTCCCATGAGGTGGTACTTGAAATGTACATGATGTAATAGTTTCTTATGAAGATAATTTGATATGTAGTGATATTAAAAGAGCAAAATAAGTTGCACAAACAATGATACATTAAAAAACAAGATAGATCTAATGAAACTAAAAAAGCTATGGTAAAATTGACATGAGCATCTCTCCATCATTACCATATCTCATGTACAAACCCTATTATGTGATAATAATTATCATTCTTTTTTTTATTTAACTATATTGCAACTACATCGGTTTCATGAGAGTAGCTAAGCTGAATGGCTGGCTACTTCTAAGAATTTTACTTTAAGTTGAAATAAAAAAAGGATACTAGACTCGATGTTTTTAATAGCACTAGGCTCCTTCACGGCGTAATGAATATCTGACCCCCAAGACACTAGACATGACCTTAGGTGCTTAGTTGAGCAATGTATGACACTAAAGAAGAAATTCAATTCACTCAATATCTGTATGCCAATTATTGGTTATATTATTAAAATATAAAATGACTATTATCATATTAAATGGTATTAGAGAAATATTAAATTTTAAATTTTTATTTACTTAATAGTTCCAAACATGGTTAAATAGATCATGTTAAATTATGTAACAAAAATAAATTTAAATAACTAATAGTCAAAGTGCTTTTAGATTGTAGTTTCCACTATTTAAAGTATCTAATCTTCATTGATATTATTCCAGTTCATCAAATATTAATGCGAGTGGGATTCCTATCGTCAATTTGCCCCTAAAGTTCTTTTCACAAAACAAAAGGCCAAAATTGAAATTTCCAGTGAGAATTTTTTTCCTGAAGCAATGACTGAAACACTGCCCTTTTAAAAAAAACAAGAGTTGGATAAGTTGGGTGAGCCTTTGAAATATCTATCAATGACCACTGCCAAAAGTCATGTTAAGAGGATATAAAGCTGATATGGACCATGACAAGATCAAGGGCAAGCATTGAAATTTAGGCAGTAGAGGTCTCGACATCGCTATATCGCTACGCATCAAGAATAGGGTGCAGAAGGTCACGATAAGAGACATGAGTTTTCTTGCTATGGGACAAAATAGGGAAGACGTCATAATGAGTGATAGAGTTTGTGGGTTACGCCAAGAGATGGGCACTACATCTATGAGCCGAGACATACGAAAGATCATGCCAGGAGAAAAGCACAACACACTAAGCCTACGTGCTACATTGGAAGACAAGTTGACAAAAGCAAAATGCAACAATCAAAATTTCTTGTTAATGAGAATGATTATTGAGATGGTCACAAATTGAAGAGAAAATCTAAAGGACAAAGAGATTGCCTTGTTATTGAGAATGAGAGCAACCGAGGGAGACAATGACAACACGAGCTAGCAAGAACAAGTTGGCTTTAATACCATGTAAATCAAATTGCTTGCTCTCATACACAATTTCCGCTTATTATATTGAAAAATACTTCATAATGCAAGGTATAATTTTGTCCCTTAATAAAAAAGTAATTATTTATTATATTCATAGAATTGTTTGATGCATCTTGTGTTTTATTTGGTTGATCATGTGACCAATGTTCAATTTACTATATCTGGTGTTCAATGAAATCAAGAGTTATTTGACACTCGAGTAATATGTACCAAGAAGTAAGAATTGAGAAGAAAATATACTCAATTAATGCTTGCATTCTCTTAAGAGTGAAATTTAATGCAATCTTTTTACTTGAATTCACATAATAATATAGTGAATTAATTAATGAGATTAGAACTCATATTATCTAAAGAGACTAAACAATAAGAAATCTCTTGATTTATAATCACTTCTAATTGAATACAACTTTGAAGTTATGTGTGATAAGTTGGTGAATCATAAATTCAGAACTATCACTTATTTTAAAACTCAAAACACATTTTATTAGTATTTGTTTGGT